CTAAGTGCCGCCATTCAAATCCAGGGAGCAACACTGCCTTAGAACCAGTTTTGGCAGCAAAAGCAGATCATTGGCAGGAAAAATCTTCCTACTGAGAAGCAGCCAGCTTAGGGAAGAATCTCAATCTCTATATTTTTTATAGCCTTCATTTAGAAAAAAAACCTTAGTAATACTATTAGTTAACTGTAAATATATCAAAATCTCAAATCATAAAGGTGAAACATAGAATAAAATAAATTCTACTTTTAGAATTTAGTATCTGAAGTGAGAATTCCTGGCTTCTGAAAAATCCTTACTTTCTTAGGAGAGTCTGTATTTAAAGCAGACATTTTTGAAATTTGGATTAAAACATTTGCTTTGGCTGGTCTTTTAAATACTATTGTGCTTGATTAAGTCTGAATCATAGAATCACATTGACCTTGTCTTTTGCTTTTCTATGTGCCAAATACCAAAGCAGTGTGATGCTCTGCAAACTTGGTGTTTTCCAAAGTAATTGTATTGAAAGTGTATTACAGACAAATTTAAGTGTGGTACAGTTTTCTTTTTTGGAATCTTGGATTGGGAATGTTTTAATATTCAGAGATAATTCAAGTAAACTGGGTATTTCTTCTAAAGTATTGAAGATTTTTTTTCTGCAAGTTAAAGAATCATAGTTGAATGTGTATGAAGTGAAATAAACTGAAGATAAAAACAGAAATACACACTTGTGAAAAGATCAGTAAAAGTTTACTGAAATCATGTTGTAGTCAATGGAATGAATTCCTATTCACTTAAAATGGAATTCATCATCTACAAGCTTTTATGGGTAAAATTGAAAGGAAGCAAACTCACCAAAGTGTCTTTTCTCCTGACCTCTGAAAGTCTGCTCTGGCTTTGGAGACTCTTGAGCAGCTTCAAAAGATGGCACTTATAGACTGCAGATGGTGGAATTAGCAAAGCAACATCACATACTGTGAAATGAGTGGATCTTTTAGCATGGCTGTCTTGATTTTATCTATGTTTCAAATACAGTGGGTATTTTGAGTAATATCCATGATTAGTACAAAGTGATGTTGCAAGACATTACATTTTTATATTCATTGCATATCATCACTTGCTTTATTTAAATGTTAAAGCTGCAGGCAAGTTACTTTGATGTACGTATTCAAGCTAGAAAACTTTTAGATTGTCTTTTCCTTGCTCAAAATCCAAAAGTATTCTAAATATATTTAAATAAATAAACATCATTTCTTTCAGCCTTTAAAACTTCCAGAAAGACCATGAATAATTTAGTAAATTTACTTCTTCTTTTTTAAAACAGCATGTGCTAAAGAAGTTGCTGGCAATTACAGAACTGCTTCAACAAAAGCAGAATCAGTATTCAGTGTCTAACAACATTAGGTAGCAGCTTTCTGCATGAGCTAGCATGACCAATATGACAACTTTCACCAATATCACTTCCTCTTGCTCTTGCCAAAAATAGCACACGTTTCACGTTTCCAGTGATGTGTGAACTATGCAAAAAACAACAAATCTGTTGGTGACAGACTGTACCAGCAGCTTTAAGCTATCTGTGCAGGACACTTGCACTTTTGGAACCAGTTTTCAGGACCTCTGAGCCTTGGTGTACAAATCACCTTCCACGAAGATGCTGTGACTGTCTCTTTGAACTTTAATGTTATTTCAAACCTCCAATTGCCAAAGTCTAGCTGTCTTTCAGAAAACACAGTCAACTGCCAATAAATTGTTTCAATAGCAAAGTATAACTGGATCAAGTACCTTTTACTGTAATTCACCTGGTTACTGTAATTATATTACAATTGTTCAACCGCTTTGTATTTACAGCTTTCACAATTTGAAAGGAAATCTTTGCTGTACACTTTTTATACCATTCTATTTTGCTTGTTCAGAGTTGAAAGAAGATGCAGACTGGGTTTTGTCACCTTTATTTTTTTTTAATGTGCCATTTATGATTTTGATTATTTTTTTCACCAATGATTGTATCCAGTTAAATTGCATTGTTTTTGTAAAATGTTTACAACAGTAAATTTGAATTCAGTAAATTTATTGATTATTATATCAGGCATGCATGCATTCATTAAACAGTTTTATAGCATACATTCAATTTTTCTGACTAATAATTCAGATTTAGTGATATATGTACATATACGTTTGTTTGTACATTCATAAGTGCTGATTGAAAAAAAAAATCCCACTTAGGAATAGAAATCCATATGTTGCCATTAATCAGTCCTTTATAGAAGAGTAAGAAGAGAAGGCTAAACAAGGACTGTTCTGAATTAAAGCTGCTAAAAACACTATTACTGAAAGAAATCATGATGGAAAGTACTCTCCTGTCACTTGGAGTTAGGTTCATGAGATATCACAAAGGCTAAGGATGACTAGGTGGACACTTTAAAAGTCATCTACAACTATGCTGCCATTGTAGGCTCTAAAACTATGCTGTGATCCACTGCATTACTGAATTTTGAAGTCTCTGTTCTTCATGCAAATCAAGTTACAAATAAAGCGGAAAAACCAAGAACAAATTAACTATACATTGAAGTACTCTGAAAATAAGTTACAGTTCCAGAGGGTTGAAGCAGGGGAAGCTTTAATGTAATTCATTTCAAAATAGTTCTTAAAACAATTGTGAAAATCTCTGAATTCATGTTTAAATTGTAAATGAACAAAAATATTAATGAAGTGAATATTTCTTTCCCATGTATGTATATCTTTTCTGTCTATACATTTATCTTGCAACATAAACTATCTCATATGTTTACACGTAATACATGAAGAATAATAGGAAAAAAATAGAAAGTATAAGATCTCCATAATGGCCAGTGCTAGAACAGAAGTTATACATCAGCAGGCCTTAGGTTGATAAAGATGTTTTTGTGCAAAAAAACCAGACTTGCTCTCAAGCTGATTAGGACTTCCCCCAACAGGTATACCTATTTTGTATAATTAAAGCTAGCTGCAAAGTGGTATCCTGAAGCAGCATTCTCCCCCCGCATTCCTAGTTTTCTGAACTTTGCCTATTCAGTAGTGGCCAAAATTGTGGAAACCTTTTGGGAAAGATGTACAGTAGAAATGCCACGTTTGGTTAAGTTTCCACCAATTTTTCTTCTAATTTCTTTACAACTGTAGACTTGTTCACTTAATAATACTATTTTACATCGCTTTCTGGGCAACCAGTCAACTGTTTGCACTATTACTTTAATTTTATTACATTTTACAAGCTCACTAAATGAAAGAACACAAAAACACCCCAACCAACTTGATAGTGATCACATAACACACTGGCCAATGTCCTTCTCTTAGTTTAATACATGACATCAATAACTGAATCCTACTGTGATCTGATTGGCTCATTGCAAAACAAGATGACACCTGATTGGCTCTCTAAACACTCATGCTCATTGGCTACAATCAGATGAAGGAAAGCTACCTGATATCAACCTAAGCAAGTTGTGCTTCCTTTTTCTAGTTATTTGGCTATAACCTTTCATAGAATACAGTGCAGATAATTAAACAAACTTTCTTGCATTACATTCTTGATTAAATTATCTTTCCATTAATATATAATTTTATGGTACTGCTCCAAAAAAAGTGTTATTAGCCATCAAACCTCAAAAATACCCTTTTCCCAAAAGGTTTCCACAATTTTGGCCACTACTGTATATTGGAGGCATTCTTTTAAATAACATGAGGGGATAAGGGATACACTCTGAATGTTTTCTTTGGAAACTTCCCTACCTTCCCAGAAAAACAAAGCAAGCTGAGGTGATCAAACAGTGGGATGGGGTAGATTTTGCAAGTGTGACCATACTCTCAAAATCTTCTCATTAGCCCTCAAATGTTGGGAAACTTTAGATTGGGGTTGTTTATCCAAGCTGATTTTCAACAGTCTGAAATATAAAGCAGGATATTACTAATTTAAAGGAATTACTTAAAAGAGTCCCCTCTCCAGTTACAAAAATTTTGAAGTTTGGCTACAAATGCAGACCCCTTTGGAGAAATGTATCATCTTTTGTGACTAACAAATCATATTATGCTAAACTACCCATTCAGACATAATCATACTGTTCTGCATTGTTCAGGGATCTATATATTTCACAATTATGCCTGATAGACTGCACAAGATACTTTATAAAAAGTATCTTAGTTGTAAAAGAACATTCTATTCTGTATCAAAAGTCAGTATGTTGTAAGACATCAAATATCAGCTCACAATACTTTCTACAGCTGATATTTATTCCTGTAAATGTATCTCCAATTACTAATGGAGTAAATTAGATAATTACAGCAGTATTTCAAATTGAGGTAAAACATTTCTCATGCTCCTTCACTGAGCTAAAATGCCCAGTAGATCAAAACTAGACAATATACATTAATTCTTCTATTCCCCAACTATGTACTTGGCATTAAACACAACTTGCCAACTTCATTACTAGGTCAATGCAAGGCTTTGGTTTGGAAATTAAACTTGATTGATCATCCAAATCAGCAACTCCATGCATGCCTTATAAAGAAGTTCAATGTTCACATGTTGCGATACATTTCCATAGCTGCTTCCAAAATATACACAATAAGCAGGCTATTTCACTTGCAGCCCTTGGAACGCAAGAATGTTTGCCCGGGATGGTAGCGAAAGGTTTTGCTAAATATCCAATATTTTCTGATCAAGCAAGGGTTGTACTAGTTAAGTAGATTTCAAAGTCTGATATATCAGACTTTCTGAGAGAAATTAGGTGAATATTTTTATAAAAAATAAAGTTTAAATATACTAAGAATTTCAAAATTATTGCATGGCATCATCCTGAGATTATTTCAGGCATTATGCTTCCTTAAGCAATAATTATGCTTTAAGATATTTGTACAGGCCCTTTGAATGTAGCTATGTTTATATCTTCTTTGAACATTATAGTTGATTGGTTCAATGGAAAGAAGCAGTGACAAGCCCTGTTCATTGTGAACTCACATTAATGCCATTTAAATAAGTTCAAGTATCCGTATCACTGTGTAAAAAAAGTTTATTATATAAATATATAATTTTCTGATGCATGACAAGTTGTACAACATGCTGCCTGGGTTTATTTCCAATATATATTAATTCAGATTTTATTTTCTGTTAGGAATGTAGATAGATCAGTCCATGAAATCATCATCTGTCCATTCATCCTAAATAAAACAAAATCAAATTAAGCATGTATTACAAAAGATTAGACTCCCAACTTACACTTAAATCTTATTTTATGTATTTTTTCCTGCATGAACATTAGTCATAATAAGTAGCCTATTAGATTGAGTTAACTACACCAGCTTTGAAAAACACTCCCTTAATTTATCAAGGATCCTGATTACATATCAGGTGTATGTTTTTAATATTAAAATACAAATTTATTCATATAAAGCAAATATGACAAGCCTATCATGAGCATTTTCAAATAAGTTACAACTATTGCAGAACTTCAATACTGTAAACATTTAAAGGTGGAAGAATCTCATTATACATAAATTTGGTTCTAGCATGTCCAGATGTCCAACTGAAACATGAAAAAAGTTTCACCTGAGCCAGAAGGGCCAGAGTGAATGGCACAAAGATTTAATTCAATGAAAGGTAACTTCATCTTCTGAAAATGGGTGTCAATATATTAGGAATAAATTCTGATTGTTTAGTTTAAACCATTATTTGCTTTAGCTTATGTTCTTCCAACATGTTTTGTATTTAGTATCACTCATTTCAAAACCAAAAGTACAAATATATACTTCATTAATTTTTGCACAGCAATTCAAATGTAATACAGTATCTGCTTATAATCTTGACCTTGTTATTGTACTTTAAATTTAATTTCATATTTCTTTCACAGAAAGTTTGACAAGGTAGAATAAATATGAATTAAGTTTTTCCCTTAAATATTCTAATTTAGCATTATGTGTTGAATGTAAAAATCATTTAGTTGTGTAACATGCAAATGTGAACTGGTTAACAGTTTACTGCTAATTTTAATTGCATATTCCTGATACTTTTAGATTTTAATAATTTGGTAATATTTAATTACCAATAATTCTGATTTATTGGGGAAAATAAGGTATATGTTTCTTAATATCTATAGTCCCATAAGATTCTGTGCAAGGTATCTGGAAACTGGTCCTGCCCCTTTGATTCCATGATAAATTTATTTTCTATTTCTTTATCACATTTGTATAGCCACACATCTATTATAATGACTCTGGATGACCCACATAATAAAGAAAATACAATAAAGCCACGAAAACCACAATTCAAAATAAAAAGTAGATAAAGAAAAAATATGGCAGGATATATTACAGATTAGTGCTCTGAGGTGTCAGGTAGAAATTTTAGTGAACGATCCAGAGACATTTATAAATTCAACCCTTGCTTCATTTCTTATGAGACAATAAAACCAATAAAAATTGATCAGAGATTTGCTCTGATAAGAGGAACAAAATAGTACATTACTTGTTTTAGTTTTAAAAAGTCAAATTAATTGGCATAAGAAAAAGTGATTCCTGACATGATACAGGTACCATAGTGTTCTTTTTGTTTTAATAATACAGTTTAAATACAAATTTAATCAGGTGTCATAAAAACTACTAACCTCTATTCTAGACTTTTTTGAGACGAATTCATCACCTTCATAGCCTTTTCTCTTTTTCCTGTCAAAAATCCCAAAGTAGAAAAATGTTAGAGGGTATATGTTCCACTATTAAATTTATTCAATCCCATTTTTATACATATACAAATACATATATACATATACAAATACAATAATTTAACTACTGTATAGAATAGAGGTCTCCAATCTCTCTGGTTTTGTGGATTGGTGTGGGGGAGGGGATGTTTCCACCCAGCATTGGGTGCTCATGTGTACAGCTCCCTGTATGCAAGCAGCAGCTGCATGGGCCCACCGCTCACACAAATGGAGCTTCCCATGCGAGTTCCTGCCGCTTATGCAAATAGTTGCATACGCTCACCTGCAATTTGTGCGGCCCAGGGCTTGGGGATCCCTGCTGTAGGTTTATTCAACACCAACTGATTCTAGTTCTAATCCTATCCTGCTCCAAGACCCTGAAGACTTGGTTCTACCTGTTGGCCTGGGGAACAAATGGGGCAGTTCCACACTGGAGATGTGGATTGATGGCAGACTCCATCTCCTTCCCACTTGCTCTTATTCTTATTGTGTTCCTTTGTCATTGTTTATTTTATTGTTCTATTATTTTACTTCTAGTATGTTTACACTCCTTTCATTTCTCTTCCTTTTTATTATTGCAAGCAGGCTAGAGTCAATCCATGGAGAGATAGGCGGCAAATAAAGTTAACAAATAAATATAGCCATTCTTAGAGAAGAAGAGGGAGTCCATCTCTCCCAAGAATTAAGGACTCTGGAAAATCCAGAGGCCTGCAGGTAGGTGGCAATAAGAACAATGACTGAGAATAACAAAAAAAGCATAGCAGGCTTGGGACATTTCCCCTCTGCAGTTGGGGCATGTCTAACATAAACAAACCCCTTAAAACTAGGCATAAAAATTAAAATTTATCTCTGTGGTAAATGAAAAGTTTATTAGACATATACTTTTGTAAACCGGAATCAACTTCCATAAGATATATATTTTCCATTGATAGACTGTAGAAAAAGTAATGCAAAGAAGAACTCACGAAGTTGGAAAAATAATAAATTCAATAAATCAACCTTCAGATTAATAGAAATATTATTCTGCAATTTCTTTCATTATTTTTATGAAGCCTTCAGTAATAGATCACTTTAGGCTTTTGGTATCCAACTCAGAATAAAAAAGGGGGGAGGAGTATAAGAATGAGCATCCCCACCATTTCTATCTCTAGCCCCATCTACTATTTGTTTCATTTTCTCCATCATGGAGCCTCCAACAGACTATCTTGAGAGTATATAACCTACAGCAGAATAAAGATGACCTAAATTTAATCCAAAAGTGTTCTTTGAAAATATTTTTTTCCTATTTACGGTATATAAATAATGATTTGGACTTAGTAGGGGCATTAAAAAATACCTACAAGCAGGGCTTTTTTTTCTCATAGAACACCCAGAAAGGAGTTCCAGCACCTTTTTTGGATGGAACCTTGTAGGGTAGGCAAGGTGGGTTGTATGACGTGTGTGAGTTCCGGCACCTTTTTTTTTTTTTTACCCAAAAAGAACTGCCTACAAGTAAGTTCTAAAGTTGTTAAATGAGGCAAACTAATGTTAGTTTTTACATAACACCCTACATTTTCTCTTTATCCATGTTTATTATATTAACATAAACCTATCTCTATTCAATTTTGCTGCATGAAAGTTTTTGCTAAACAACATTATAATCCACAAAACTACTTTCATCATACATTTAAGCCCTGACTGAGGAGTAAATACTGACAAACACATGGAATAACATCAATACAGACACCCTAGCCAGAAATTAGGCCATTAGAATAGAGAACGAATTTAACAAAGCTTTAAATAGCTACTTACGTATTTGTATTAAGAGCAAGTTCTGAACTGTGACATTTTTCTAGCTTCTGTTTTAAAACAGCAACTTCTTCAGGATGTGGTAGCTCATATTTTTTTACCAGATTTTTCATGCCTACTCAAATGCAATAAACGCTTATTAAAATACTACAAAAATATGAACTATTATGTTACTTACGAAAGCCAAAAACAGATCAGGAAATTCTAAGAAAACAAATGTGCTCACTGAAAATTCTATTAAAGTCGCAAAACAATTTGCATTCTAAATAATTTTGTATTTAGCCTATTTGCTCCTACAAAACTGATCAAAAAGCAATGATCTGGGGGGGGGGGGAGGATTGTGACAAAATAGTTGTAGGCAGACTTTATGAGCCAAATGAGGCTAAATCTGAAGAACTTATCCAAATGGAAATGCTTCAGATGTCAAATAAGGAATTCTCTAATTCCAAGTCCAAACCTTTGGAGGATATTCAGATTACAGAAGATGAATCAATTCTTTTCTCAGTACAGTCTTTACCTGAATACATGCAAAGGAAGGCCACCATGTGCCTAAGTAAATGTTCTTACTATTCAAAAGTTTTAAAACTGTTTTAAAAAACACTTGGAACTTGCCTTCTTATAGCTTAAGAACAGTGCCACATATTAGGATGATGGAGAGCTAGCCCCGACTCTCTTCTCAAGTAACATTTCAATATCTGAAGAGTGCTATCAAATTATTTTTATCTCATTTCTTCAAACCACAGCATATTTAACCAAATACCCTATACTGTAATCACCAAAGAAAATGAAGATAACAATGGCTCTCTTCATATAAAGTTGCTTTCGATATTGCTGAGTCCCAGGCATACGTCTATGTTGCATATTAGATTCAAACAGAAAAAAAAATGCTTTAGAGCAATGGTTCTCAACCTTTTTAATGCTGCGACCCCAACCGGTCGTAAGTCGAGGACTACCCAACCGGTCGTAAGTCGAGGGCTTTCCCTGCCCGTGAGCACCGCACATGCGTGGTGCTGCCCCCTGCGCCAGCTGAGGCGTAGCTGGCAAGCGGCAGAGATGGCGCAGGCCAACCACCGGCTGGGCCACCAGCTGGCCCAGCCCAAGGGAGGTAAGGCACCCGCCGGGGCCCACGCGCGCCAGCAACCCTCCCTGCGCCCGCCGGCCTCCCACCCCTGGCCCTCTTTTATTTACATTTTCAGTAGCTCAGCAGGGAGGGGTGGAAACATCCAGATAGCTTGCCTTCGCTGCAGACAACTTGCAGCACCGTTTGCAGAATGGGACTTTTGGCGGGTTTAGCAGGGCAGAGACAGCCTGGACAATTCCTATTGGCTTTTGAAAGCCAATAGAATTAGACTCTATTCAAGAGAGTCTATTCTATTGGCTTTCAAAAGCCAATAGAATAAAAGGGAGTAGCACAGCTAAGAAAAAGGAGAAAAAATGGTGGACTGCGTTGTTTGGCAACCCCCGTGAAATGGTCGTTCGACCCCAAATGGGGTCCCGACCCACAAGTTGAGAACCACTGCTTTAGAGCATTCAATACATTCACAAAGTACTTGTCCATGAGGCCTTAAGAAGGTTCCATTATTTCTCTAGATTTTACAGCTGCCTCTATACCAATTCCCATGGAGATTCACACTGCTGGCATGTACATATGCACTCATGCATAATTTGAAGCACATTTTTCATTTTGAGACATTATACCAGTGGTGGCAAACCTATGGCACACGTGCCAGAGGCGGCACTCAGAGCCCTCTCTTTGGGCACGTGCACCATGCCCCGGAGATGGCAACCATCCCTCTTCAACCAGCCACCCGCTAACTCGCCAAGGTCCCATGTGGCCAGATGCATCCCAGCATGGCTGGTTTCTTCCACCCCCATTCCATCCCTCCTGGTCTCGCATGCTCTCCTTTTCCCGGGCACAACCCACTGCATCACCTCCTTAGCTGTCAGCTGGCCGGCCAACTCAGAGGAGGTTTCTCTGAACTGGCAGCGAGCTGGGGAGCCCCAGAGTGCGCCAGTCGAGGAGCCAGCAGGCTGTGGCTGCTGACGGACACTGTCAGCCCCCATGCGCTCACTGGCCTGTGTGTGCAGGGGCCAATGGTGTCAGGTAGCAGCCGCCCCGGTCCCTGCCTTGCCTTGCCTTTGCGACAATGGCACCTCTGCCCTGCCTCGTCTTGCTTCGCCTCACCCTGCAGGATGAGCCTCCTGCCCACCACCCATCTGCCAGAGAACCCTGGATCTCCCCCAACCCTGCCTGGCCCCCACAGGCATCCCTCCCCAAAGCAACATCGAGGTGACCATGCCCACCTTGGCCACGCCCACCCAGTGGGCCATGCCCACCTGGCACCCAGCGATAAATAAGTGGGTTTTGGGTTGCAGTTTGGGCACTCGGTCTCTAAAAAGGTTCACCATCACTGAACTATACTTGTTGTTAGCAAAGTTGTTAGCTGAGGAAAAATAACTTTCTCTGGCATAGGATAGGTTAGACTGACAACCTGTTTGGTTGACCTGTGCAGCTCATTCTGCCCCTTATTGTTGAAAACAAAGTACAGTTTCTCACTATCTTGAGATGGGTAACAAATGATCCCAATAAAAAGAAAAAAAAATGCAGACTCCTCTCCAAACCTAGTCCCACTCTTGAATGATATGCCCCACCTCCAGGTTCAATATGGTCCATGGGTAGCAAAAGGTTGCCCCTGTCTATTGTGACATATGGCCAATTTCTCTTACAAGGAAAGAAAGATAATTTTGACGTTTCAAAAATTACCTTCCTTTCCCCTAATACATATCTGCTTTGGTTGAGATCTCAATAAAATGCAATACAGAGAAGTTACTGAACATGGTCTCTTTCAGATTAAAAGCAAGTCTTTCATAACTAAAAAGTGCTTCAGCTTCTTCTTAAGTCTTGGCTTAAATTTATCATGCAATGTCCTGCTCTTTTACCAATCAATCTTTATTATGGTCACAGACCAGCAAATAAAAGCATTAAAACAATAATAATAGTAAAAAATAAAAATAAAAGACAGACAGAATAATATATTTTGATTAACAGTGGATTAACAGTGGGCTGTTAAAGTTTGCCTAATTTTACATACAGCATAGCAGAATTTGGCCACATTCAGAGAAAATACTTCATACCTATCTGATAACAATAGTTACACATAAAAAAGATAGGGATTTCCCAGATATTTTATTAGGTAAGGTGTTATAAATTGAATTCATAAGTCCTTATAGATAGTGCATTATAGCAGGACAGGAGCTATAGTTTCATAGTTACTCTAGTTTCTCTTCAGATGGTATAAAACTTTAACTTTTTTACCAAATTTAGCCACAGCAGCTCATAGTGCTTTATAGCCTTCTCTAAACGGTTTAGAGTCAGTATATTGCACCCAACAATCTGGGTCCTCATTTTATCAACTTCAGAAGGAGTGGAAGGCTGAGTCAACCTTGAGCCAGTCAGGATCGAACTGCTGGCAGTCAGCAGAGTTAGCTTGCAATACTGCATTCTAACCACTGTGCCACCATGGCTTTATTTTAATTGAATACATCATTTATTTTCACCAATACTGAAGTAAGTACAAATGTACAGTTACAGTAAAGTTGTTATTTACATTGTTTTTAGTTTCCTGGAGTCTAATCATATAGTTACCATTAGAGTCACAGGGAAAATGTTAGAGACATAGGCACTTTTAATCATCAATGCTTCAAAATATAAACCAACCGAACAAAAATCTAGTAAGTCCTAAAGAAAAACCATTAGTATAGCTGTTGACATTTTAATATCTCCTGGACTATACAATGCACAACTCACTCTGGAATCAGGCAACATAAAACTCAGTATCAAAACAGATGAAGCAAACCTGCTAATGAGACTGTGCCATAGTTAATACTAAAGAAATCCACACAGCTACAAACATTTTATATAACAGGTTATGAGGAGTAGTTGGTTGTTTCTGAGCTTGGTTGTTTTCTGGCAGACATTTCATTACCCAAACCCTAGGTAACATCATCAGTGCTACACTATCATCCTCAGAGACTAGTACTGATGATGTTACAGTAGTGGCCAAAATTGTGGAAACCTTTTGCGAAAAGTACAGTAGTAATGCCACCTTTGGTTAAGTTTTCACCAATTTTTCTTCTAATTTCTTTATAACTGTAGCCTTGTTCACTTAATAATACTATTTTACATTGCTTTCTGGGCAACCAGTCAACTCTTTGCACCATTACTTTAATTTTATTACGTTTTACAAGCTCACTAAATGAAAGAACACAAAAAAAAACCCCAACCAACTTGATAGCAATCACATAACACACTGACAAATGTCCTCCTCTTAGCTTCAATACATGACATCAATAACTGAATCCTACTGATCTGATATGCTCATTGGTTACAGTCAGATGAAGGAAAGCTACCTGATATCAACCTAAGCAAGTTGTGCTTCGTTTTTCTGGTTATTTGGCTATAACCTTTCATAGATTACAGTACAGATAATTGAACAAACTTTGTTGCATTACATTCTTGATTAAATTCTTTCCACTGATATATAATTTTATGGTACTACTCCAAAAAAAAAAGTGGTGTTATTAGCCATCAAACCTCAAAAATACACTTTTCCCAAAAGGTTTCCACAATTTTGGCCACTACTGTACCTAGTTTGGGTAATTAAACATCTGCAAGAAAACAACCAAGCTCAGAGAGCACCAAGGACCCCTCATTTCGACCCTGAGCTACAAATATTCTCCTTTATTGATAACAGGATATTTTATAACACTTCAACTTTTCTATCCTATATGCTGACATGGGGAGTAGAAAAGATGGAAACAGACCAGATTGTAGGTATTTTCGGTCTAAAATAACGGGTCTTTTTATTCAGTTATAAATATCAAAAATAAACTTTTACAACTCTTAAAACCTATCAAGCTTTTCACCTTTTGCTTTCTGAAGCATCAAGGGTATTTTAAATATGTACTGTTTCATTGTCAACATCAATACTTACATTTCATTCCATCCAGCAACTGCGAAAGGGATGCTTTATTCTCTTTGAGCATTAGGGTTCCTGATAAGTAACTATTAAAAAATTCAGAAAATAAACACAGCTAAAAAGAATTAAATTATAGGTCATAAAAAGATTGACATTTTACAACATTTCATGATAGACAATGCAAGATAGTTTAACAGTATTTTAAAATACATTTTTTTAAAAAAAAGCAACCTGTGTTAGAATTAATTTCTTGTATTCCCACATCCTAAAGTACTCAAGGTTTTCTCCCCTTTGTTTAAAACATTTATGTAGCTGCCTTATACCAAACTCTGGATGGCTCTCAATCAAAAGTCCATATTAAAAATATTAAAATCAAATGCATTAAAAACAAAACCCTGGTGCCAAGTCAAGTTTCAGATATTTACTTCTTATCTCAGCACTTGGGGGAAAAGCCTGGTCTTTGGTGCTTCACAGGTTAGGTAGAGGCCTGCCACAGAAAAGGCACTCTTCCTAGCTCACCTAAGGTGTCAGTGTTTAAGGGAAGGGACTAGGAGCATACCCACCCTATCTAACCTGGTAGGATAGACTGATGTTCATAGGGAAAGGCAGTCCTGCAGATAACTTGGGCCTCTGCCATACAGGGCTTTAAAGGTGATAACCATCACCTTGAAGTGTACCCAGGAGAAACTGGAAGCCAGTGAAGCTCTCACAATAGAGGTGCTACATGGGTAAAGCTACAAGTACCCACCCTGAGCACACTGTCACATTCTGGAGCAGTTGAAGCTTCTGGGTGGTCTTCAAGAGCAGCCCCATATAGCACATTGTAGTAATCCAAATGGGAGATATGATCTTCCATAAGCAGAATTATATATACATATATACATATACATATACATATACATATACATATACATATACATACATACATACATACATACATACATACATATATATATATATATATATATATATATATATATATATATATATATATATATATATAATTAAAGTATTAAAGTATTTTACTATATTAAAAGGTTGCCAAGCTTTCGTTGGGAAAACTCCCCAACATCTTCAGGGCTGAGAGACCGTTTCTAACAAGGTGGTTTAAACGGGTTCCATAGACGTCTGCGCTTGGTTCCTAGACCGTGCTAGCATTCCCCGCTGAACAGCTGATAGGTGGGAGGGGGAATTGGAGTAAAGATTTCTTCCGTCGTTCTCTCGAGCACTTGTGTTCACATCTCCGTCGATCTCAGGGGGTATTGTTAAAGCTACGTTCCGCCCTCTCCCGGCAGCACTGGCTCTCGTTGCAGCGGGGGGATTTAGTTCGATGTCATTGTGTATCCTACCATGGAGGCGGGGCTTCATCGGCTGCAATTTAACATCTTTCCTCTGCTGCGTGCTCCCGTATTTATCTTTGCTCGCATGTACAAGCATCAACTGGATGTGGTATTTTTCAATGTTTGAATCATCCTCCTCCATCATGGTGTCCTCCATGCTCATCTTCCCTCGTAGGTCAATATTCAAGTTAAATACCGCCCATTTCTGTGAGCAAAAGTCTGTTGGTATTTGGGCAGGTTCCCCGCTCATGTTACTTTCCCTTTTATCAAGCGAACGGGTCGTCATCACATGTTTTTTCTCCCCTCTCTGTATGGGATATTCACTTTTATTATTATTATGGGTAGTGCTAAATTTAGTGGTTCTATCCTCAAATTTCTTAAGCGCTCCAATGTCATTAGTTTTCTCCAATTAAAGGCGATGTGGTTTCCCCTTGATGTTGTTGGGAGGTTTCTGGGTAGTCTATATCAGATTGTTTCTGGTAGGGAGGAGGTATAGCTCCTGGTTTAGAATGTTGTGGATGTTGATTGTAAGGTTTGTGATATAAAGGATGATGGTTTGAGCTCCATTTTCGTAGCGCTTGTTGTGCTTGGTGCAAGTCAATGTGACGATTGATTGAGTTGTTATTCGAGAACCAGGCTTCTTTTAGCAGCCGACCTCCCTTCGTGGCATCACTGGCTACGATAAGGGTGTTATTGAAGGCAAACTGATGGCCTTGTTGTGCCATATGCATCCAAAGTTGTGAGTGTGGTTCGCCTCGTTTTATGGCCAGTTTGTGTTCGTGGAGGCGAGTTTTCAAGCGTTTGGCTGTTTCTCCCACATAGTTGCCTTCGCAGTTTAAAACAGCCAAACGCTTGAAAACTCGCCTCCATGCACCCTTTGTTATCCATTCCTGTCATTCTTCCCCCCCCCTTCCTTCAACGCTCCCACCTGTTGATTAACATATTGCTCCTGCCTTTCATCGACCATTCTTATTGATGTTCTCTTCCTCAATATCTTTTCCTTCCTGATCCGCTGCTATTTTTTATTCTTTTAAATGTTGTTTTAACAATAAATAACTGGAGTATACTCTTCCCGGAGATCGAAGATTGCATCATTGAACAATATGCCCGGGATTCGTATTTTTATAACCATTAAGGATATATATATATATATATATATATATGCATATATATATATATATATGCATATATATATATATGCATATATATATATATATATATATATATATATATATGCATATATATATGCATATATATATATATATGCATATATATATAAATATTAAATATTCAGAAACTGCCTTACCTTTCCATATTAAATCCTGCCCTGGATGCACTTGATACCATAGCAGTAAGAGCTATCTGAGAAGGTGTAAATAGAAGGCAGGCATCTGTCAAAGATACCCGATTAAGAAAATCATCTGCTGTCTTCCTCAATGTCTCAGGATTTTCAAGCAATTGATAACGGGTCTAGAAAATAAGTAATAAGCAATAATACTTTGGAATAATTTGTTGCTACAATTTCCTCCAAGCCCATATCCAAGACGTACTTTCAAATGAAAGGCAGATACTAAAAGGATTTCCATTATCAAAGAAATAAAATAAAAAGAAAATTAATTAAAAAGCTTATCTATTTTGTGGTCTTTTTCACCCACTTCGGAATCATATATAAAACCAAGATTTTCATGAACTGATTTGATAGTTGACAAAATGTGGAGCTTACAAAATCAATCCAAAATGTCTTCTACAGTACCTTGTTCTTCAAAATAAAAAAGCTCATAGATTTTTAAGCTGATTATGATAGCCAACTTTACCAATATTTATTTTTAATATTTGTTTAAGAATAGCAAAAAAACCCCAATTTTTGTACCTCATTACTCATAACTTTGATGTTCATAAGAAATATAATTATATAGGTAATATTCTTATTTAAAGAAGAATTAAGAATCCTCTCAAACATACACAAATATCAACACAAACAATTCAACATTTTCAACCATCATTTTGGCACTCAGTTCTAAAAGCAATATTTTGTTACCATTTTCAAAAACTGAAGAAAGGGTTTTGAAAGATGTGCAAGGAAAATCTAAGGTATTAAAGATGGGGTCACAGAATTAATATTGATATCTATGTTTCATAGTATGGCCATTCATTCACTGTAAAAGTTTAATAATCTCTGTATTATTTATATAACATTTAATATAGTTATTGCAGTCAATGTTTAACTTGGTAAGCAAAAAAAAAGGTCTGGTACCTTCAAATCAATCAATAGCCCTTCAAATGGTCTGTAAGGGTTATGTACTATAAGGTGGAAATTCAGCTGCTGAATAAGTAGTAATTCATATTCCAAGATCTGCTCCAATGTCTTCTCCTGTCCTGCTGGGCTCTCACGAAGGTTACCAACGAATTGTGCACTAGATACATTAAATTCATCTACTTTACAAGCCAAGAATGCACACGTTAACCTTAAAAACAAAACACATTTGATTGTAACAAACGTATATGAACTTGAGACAATATAAATAATTTCAAGACCAAAAACATTTTCCTGAGGAACAGGTAGTTTTCACCTTGAAATATGAATATGAGCTCTACATATTTCTTGTCTCTTATTAAAATTTCAAAAATGTAAAAACATTATCAATTCTAATTGATAATTAAAGCATAAATAGTAAGAGTTACTCACATAATTATGCGGGGATGATATTCCATTACTGAGTTATTGAGGTAAAAACGTTTGAAATACATGCATGCTGTACCCTAAAAGCACAAAAAAGTTGGAAAGTTCATTCAAATTACTTGTTATAAACATAAAAATACAAGACACAATTTAAAATGCCAATGGCAAACTAAATAACTGCTCAGTTCTACACACAACTATTCAGAAAACAGAGTCAAAAGGGGAATTTATGAAACAAAGGATGCAGCCCTGCAATAGGTTATTTATTACTGTACAAATAAAAAGAGCATTTGTTTTATGTATAAATTGGCCCAGGAGAGTAAAATAGCATGTTTGCACTCCAGTCTACTTGGAGATACTAAAATCCTTTTTCTATTTTTTAAAGAGTGCACACAAAACAGATACTAGAATTCTCTTCTAAACAGGACACTAGATCAGCCCTTCTCCAAGTCAAAAATGGTATACTTCACAAATACAATAAAAACAAGTCCACATGTCTATGATCTCAGATAGGCTTATATTCTTCACAACTGTACTTTTTCCAGAATTATGGGACCTTCCCTACCACTGACTCCTAACATAGATGAGATGTGATCTCCTATAGCAGGATAATTAGTTTTCCTGACAGTGTTATGATCTTCAGTTCATTCTGCTGCACAACTCTAGCAGAAGCCTTTTGTAACAATATTACAAATATTACAATATTACAAATTGATCTAACTGCTGCTCTGATATTTGATGCATAATCTTTTGTTTCTCTTCCCACGTAACAAAATAAGATGGACCAGGCTCTGCATGGGAACGAAGCCATCAATCATAGAGCAGTGAACATTAAGACAGTACTAATTACTTGGAAGGGAAATAGTTCTGCATTTCTTTTCAGTATTTCAAATCAGCATTACTAATTATTAACTAATACTAATGTTCAAAATAAAAGATTCTGCATATGGAAAAGAAAACCTTGCAAACCACATTAAATTTTGAAAATTTAATGGATTTTAAATATTAATGGATTAATATTTACAAAGAGTAAGAATTAATTAGCTGTTAACATCCAACATAGCCATTTTTTAACTATGGGATATTATATGAATCCAGACTGTGTGCTTAATTTATACTTCTGTGTCATGAGCATTAAAAAATGGTTTTATTTAAATCAGCCTTAAAAATAACATTTCAAGTAAGCACCAGCAAGACATTGGTTTCTCTAAACAGAAAAGTTAAAACAGATGTAAAAAATTCAACAACTTACCCCAACAGATTTGGGCATTGCTGGTTTAAATACAGAGCAAAAGTCTGCTAATATTTTTTCATAATATTTACAAATTATCAGCTCTTCATGTGGGTCAAGAAGAAACAAGTCTGTCTGTTGAACCTTATGAAAGAATAATATATATCTTAAATAGAAATCACAATTCACTAACACAGACTATAGCTATTAAGCAGAACCACTTAAGGCATAATCCTATACATGAGTCTTACTAACCTAGTATTGTTGACATGTGCAGGACTATCACTCCATTATCCCCAGGCAGCTAAAGGCATTTAGGGTTATAAATCTATATATTTGCAGAGAAGAACTTTGGGAAACCATATAACAGTTAAGGGGACCTCTCTGAGCTTGGTTATTTTCTTGCAAACGTTTCATTATCAAACTAAGTAACATCAGAGCACCAATATAACCCTATAGTATCGATGGAGATTCTCAGTCATCCAGGTCATGGTTGTCCCAAAGATGCTTTTTCAGGAGGTCCATTTAGTGGTCAATGTAATCGTAAAACATTGCACAGATAAAACACGGTAGCTCACTCCTGCCAAGAGAAGTCTGATAAAACCTGTTTATAGGGGCATGACACACTATAACATTTGTTTCTCTTACTCTTAAGGGAAAACAGAATCTATATAACAGTGTTTTCCAAACTTGACAACTTTTAAGATGTGTGGACTTCAGCTCCTAGAGTTCCCCAACCAGCATACCAAATTAGGATTGGTGCATACCGGTTGCCCTCATTGAATACCCACGCATTCAAAGTCACAGTAGTGCTGAATGAGTGGTATTTATAACGGTTCCTCATAGTTACAGCCATTGCTGCATCCTCAGTGATGTGATCACAATTCCAGTGCTTAGCAAATGGCTCCCAATTAAAGCACCATCATATCCCAGATATGTGATCTTCACCATCAGTTTCCAATCAGCAAAGACAATGGGGAAGCCGGCTGGATAGCAATCGCACGACAGTGGGATACAGCAACTATGCAGGTTGCTGACTGTGCCTGCCAACTGCCTCCGTAAGTCGGTGTACTCACGTGACACCACGCCTTACGATCTTGTTGTGGAGCGACAGGAGTTCCAGTCCCAATTAACATCGGTAAACAAGGGCTACCTGTACCATTCTGACAAATCCTAAAGAGGGCAATCCAAGGCAAATGCAACGGAATGCAAGATCGGGGACTTCTCGGCTCTTTTGGCCCCCTCCGCTCCTACCTTCCCATTGGCCACCGCTTTGCATCTGAACTTGCGGTTGGCGTCAGAACGCCTGCGGGACAATTCTTCCTCGCTGCGGAAAGTCCAGTAGCGCCTCTGCGTGCTGCTGTGGTACATCACAGCCTCCACCGCCGACGAGCCCGAGCTTCGCCCCACTGCTGTCTTTCAGACGAACCGCTTTCCTCAATCCCGGAAACGGCCAAACGCCCCGCCACGGGAATGGCCGCCTCCGGCTCCGCCCCCGCTGTCATCACAGTCGCCACCGGGCCGCCCCAAGTTCCCGGCATGCCTTGCGCCAAAGGCGAGGTAGGATTTCCCAGCCTCGCCCTGAAATCTAAATTCGCGCGGCTTTCTCGCAAGGCCGTTCCAAGAGATAAGAAAAGTTAGACTCGCTTTATAAGCTCGCACTTCCGGAAAGCTGAACATGGCCTATTCTTTCTGAGGAGCAACCTTCACGTTGAGTCAGAAAAAGGAAGCCTTAAATTTGAGCAACGGCAAAAAAGACTTCACGGGCTCGCACTACATACTTAATACCAAATGAGTTGTTTCAACTTCCCGTGACTGGCAGCTCTGAATTTTTTTTTTAAAAAAAAGAGTCCTTGATAGAATAGCTGGCGAGAGATGCCGTCCAGTGCACTATAGAGATAAAAAGTAAAGAGCTGTCGCACGCCGCGCGATTCAGGACTTGATTTCCGAGCTACAGCTAGAAAAAGACTGCTGGAAAGCTGATCCTTCGCTTAGGGTTGTTTTTTTTCTTCCGCCCATCAGTTCTTCCCGGATTCCTTGTTGTTGGTTTGGCTCTCCTGGGAGTCTCAATTAGCAATTCGCATTTTGGAAATTGAAGAAAAATCACCGCGATTAGATCCAATTCAAGCCTTCTTGGTTGCGGGATTGTAGCCCAGCGAGGATATGCGCAGGCTGGCTCAGTGGAACCTGGACAATCCGCCTAGCTTTGGCCTCCGGCGATCCAGTAGTGTAGGACCTCGGCATTCCGCCAGACATGGCTGGAATGGGAATCCCGTTAGACTGCAGACGTCCTTGCCCTGGAAGCCTCGGAAATGCCCGCTGGCACAGCAACAGCATGACGGTCCCTGGGCGCAACCTGCAGGGAATAAACCCATTCTCTCTGGAGTGGAAAAGTGCGCAGCTCTGAACATCGGTTTGCCAAAACCTGCAATCTTCCGAACAGGTTGAACTTCATTTCCCATAGTGCCCGAGGCCGGCCCAGGAATTATGGGAGTTGAAGTGCAACGGATCAGGTGGCGTCTCATACGGGGAAAGGATTCCTCCTATCTATTCAATAGATTCTATTGGATGTGGCGTTGCGAAGAGAAAAGGGATTTGCGATGAGGGGTAATTCGAAGCGGGTTGTTTTTTTTTCTCTCATCATCTACGAGCGATTGGATCCTAGTTTTTCTGATGGACTCAACACCTGGGAGGCAGCTTCGAAAAGGATTTCGCGTCTCCAAAAGCTATTTTATAACCCTTTTTTTTTAAAGAAATACTATGCAGCTGGGCTACCAGCTCTTTACTATCAAACTTAATAGTAGGTTGCCACCGGGTGGGTTACTCTGCTGTAAGTAGATCTTTGAGGAAGTTGCAGAGACCGGCAAGAATCTTTTATGCATGATTTGTTCCTTTCGAAGCAAAATTTAATATCTTATCTATGCAGGCATAAAAGTGTCTTAATTAGAAGATGCCTCTGCCCGACTGGGCTTCACTTACCGTCTTCATTAGAGCAGGATAACATCCACCCACTCCCCCATAGATCTCTAATAGGCAATTTGTGCTCATTTGACGAATAAAAAACTCTTTATCAATTCATCTTTGTTACGCAGCATTCAGAAGATGCAGTCATGCTGATCTCAGTCCCTGGAATAACTTAACATTTTGCAAAAAATATAGAAGATTTTTAGACTTAAGTTGTTCATTTTCTCCAAAGCAAATGTTTAAAAGTAATGAAAGGCTTATTTATGCTGTGGTTAATTGTTACATCTCCTTAACTGCCAAGAAATAATTTTGTTGCATCTAAGTTTTAACTTTTGGCTTGGTTTCTATAAAAATATATAACATTTTGCCAATTAGGAGGGGATAAATAGGGACACATGAAAAAGGTTGACAATACGATACAATACAATACAATACAATCGATAGTAATATTAATAGTGTAATAGTTCTGCAATATAGTAACAATATTGGCAAAAACACCTGCTGGTCCAGAATATAGAAATGATAGCACCACAATTACACTAATGTTCTGTACAAGTCAGAGGGTGAAAAGTTAGGCTAAGAGTTCGAGTTAAGATAAGCTGGATAATATTTATTGTATACTCCATACTTATAGTATATCAAACATGTGGCATTTCTTGGATTGCAGATTCCTAGTACAGAGGCAAAAGTTATCCATATGCTTTGTGCTTCTAGAAATACTATATCAGCAAATTAATGTTGGTGATTTATTCAAATTGTTGCAAAAAGCAATACTGATCTTGTTCAATATTTTGAAAGCAGCAGTAGCAAAAAATTATTTTATAAAGTTTACCAAGCCATTAATGGTGGAAGGGAATAATGCAAATAAATAAAACCTCAGTACCTGTTTAATGGTACAGTTTTAATGGATGACTCAGAAAGATGCACCACTGAAAATTAAAAGTGGAAACTGAAATGTGCTAGTAAATTATGAATGGCTCAATTGCCTGTTTTGCAAATTGTCCAGAGGCTAGAGAATTAGAAATGCAGTGTTAATTTTACAAGTATTATAATCTCATTTTCATAACTAGCTGTAAAAGTTGTTAATCAGTTGCTCTGGCCAGTCATGTGTAAACATTCTTAATCTATGAAGATGTTTTATTTTGCCATTAAGCATTACATGTCCTAGAATATTTGATCAGAATTATGACAATGGTGGAACAGCAAAGCAAACTTGGAAGATAATAAAAATTATCCAATTACTCATCCCTTTAAGAATGTACTACCTGAGCTATATCAAAATCTGCCAGAATTTTGCTGAGGTATTTTCTTAAATAAGAATGTCTGTGCATCCTTGTTTCTTATTTCTTCAATAAAAAAGTCTTGTTTCTCTTGCAGCAAGAGTTTGGACCAGATGTAGAGAAGCTGAATGGCTCTCTAGAGACTGCTGAATATCTTCTCCCATCAGTTTAGCCATTGGCCATATTGTCTTTCATTAACAAAAGCTGGAATTCAGGAATTGGCCAATTTAGTCATCTACCTTTTATAAATGTGTTTTTAAAAAACTTCATTGCAGATTTAAACAAATGTGGTAAATGCTGTTGTTAGGGGGTCTTTGAATCAATCTTAACACCTGGTGACTGTACATCCATGCAGGTCCAATGCAGTTTTTGGAAGTGGTTTGCATGTACTTTCAATTTTCTAGTCTAGGGCTAGAGAGCAACTGACTCAAAGGCATCCAACTGGTTTTCAAACCTAAGGAAAAACTAGGATGTAAGAATGTAACCATTACATTAAACTGGCTTTTTAATTTAAAGATAACTAGTATCAAAACATACCCCTAATACAGCATGCACTCTGCAGCTAAAGTAAACAGCAGCATTCTGCTTTGTACCAAGAAAGGACTTAAAGACATATATTAAGACCATTTCAGTTTTAAACATGTACTAGTTGCTAGGTCAGCAGTTTCATATGTGTACACTCATTGATCTTTATACCCATACTGGGGGCATTTTTTTGACAGAAGAATTGGAGTAACAGTTCCAGTTCTCAGAGATGGAAGGGGCTCCATTCAAATTATGGTTTAGTGTTTGAAATAATTACGGTAAGTGAAATGATCTTTTCCATTCAAGGTGGTTAATCACTCCCAAGAATTAATTTGGTGTTTAAATTTCAGTTAGCCAAAAACATTGGGGATTATGGTGATGGTATGGCTTTGACACAGGGGTCAATGAAAAAAAGAATTGAGTGGGGAATTCTAAATATGCTCTGTCTTGATTTCTCAAAGGCTGTGATCCATTCGGGTATATACATAATACTCATTCACCAGATCACCAAGGTGATCTTCAGAAGAGATTGACAGTGTTGCTTGCAGATTATTTTACTTCTACTGAGTACAGTAGCAAAGTCTGAAGTAGAAAATAGTGAAAGGCTTAGCCTCTTTATTCTGGCAGACTTGCTCATGATTGCTGTGCTCTATCCCTGGTGCTCCGACCTTGGTAGCAGATAAGACTGGTTGCCATTGAAAGTGGTGGTGCCATAGGCATCTGCTCTTAGATAAAATGCAAAGCCCACCCTTTCAAACCATGTGCTGATATAATATACAAAAACAAATAATAGCATTTGAATCATGATATAATGACACATTTAATCACAATCCATGTCCATCATGGGTGCCTGTGGGTAATGCTCATTGTGGCTCCAGATTCCATGATTTATGGCTTCAGGTTGTTTATTCTTCTGTTAAAAACCATATTTAGATCTTATAGACTGCTTTATACATACACTATTTGTTTCTACTTCTGACAATTAAGGGAGAGGAAAGAAGTCCAACTGCTGTTACTACCATAAGGGCTTCAAAAAAGCACAAAAGAATACAAAAGAGGCCTCTAGTTCTATTGTTTTCATCAGTATTCATTTGAATGCTGGATTGGAGCTAAGGAAACCCAGTTCAAAACCCTTTGTCTTTCTGATAAGTAATCTTGGGACAGTCAGTCTTTGTCAAGCTAACATTTTGTAGAACAGTTCTGAGAATTTTTTGTCCCCCAAGAAGTAAATGTATTAAAATATGTGATGTGGATTGAGATCCTTAGCATGCAGAACTGTGAACATCTGGTGTCAGATTCTGCATCATCCAGAAAATGGATGTGGCTGTAATGATTCCTATTAAAGACATGATTTAATGCTAAATCAGAATACTTTTTTTTCCTGAGGCAAGAATAGTGCTTGGTCTTTGAGTAGCAAGACAAGGACCTCACTCCAAAAAGTAATGGTTGGGCTAGTTTAAAGCAAAGATTGATGTCAAATTATTTACATTTAAATGAACATTGCCCTCCAAATGCACAGGAGCAGAAGCTTCAAGAATTTCCAACCAGCCTATGCATTAAAAATGTTTCATTTCCAAATCCTGTGACATGCATGAGAGGATTTCCCTAATAAATGCTAAGTATGACTCAAATGCCTGTTTTTCAGATTCACAATAAAGCACTAACATGAACCAGACCAGCTGCCTTACTGATAAGTGTTTTCCTTCTCCTCCACTTGAAAAACAGGTCTGTTCTGGGATAAAAGAAATAAAAACTCTTCTCATTTTTTTCTGTAGCCTTGATTACATTGAAATTCACAAGTAGCAATGGTTCCCTCCCTGGCTCTGTTGTTGCCATGGTTATGTTTTCTCAATAGGAATCTCCCCCTGCCCTGCTTGCCTGTATAATATATTAAATAGGAATAAGATCATTATTTTTTTTGTGTTAGTTTTCAAGAAATTGCAGAGGAATAAAAAGAATGGCATAAAGGAAGCTATTGTTATGGGCTACCATCACTCTGAATGGCGTGATATTGTCTGTTTCGTTTCTTTGGGGTGAGAAGCAAAACACAGAAACTGTATGTTAAGGGTACTGTTGCTTGCTTGAAGTAGGTAAGCCCTTAAACAGATGTGACAGTCACTGATCTTACACCTGAATCTAGGCAGCAAGTGTGTGGACCAGATGTAGAGAAAATGAATGGCTCTTCAGAGACTGCTGAATAACCTGTCAATTTTAGCCATTGGCCATGTATTTTATTAGCAAATGCTGGGATTCAAAAACCATAGGAATCCAATACCTTTCAGCTGATAATTTTTCTAAAGATTCAACTATTGTTTTTATTTGTACCCAAATTCTAAATACCTCTTTGTCCAAGTTCTGGTTACATTAGATTTTACATTGATAACAGTGGGAAAAAAATCATAGTTACTAATACCATTGGATCACCAGAATTGGCCAATTTATATTAATAAAGCATAAAATGTATAACAATTGTATGTTGTTTCAGTCACATATCCACAGGCGGTATTAAGTATTTGTACTCTCAACCCCCTGACCTTTTTAGAAGGCATGATTATTTGAAGTAGTTACTTGGCAGTTATACTATTATATTCAGTAGATTCTACACCTCTAACTACTTCAGCTATTCAGTAGAGCAGTGGTTTTCAACCTGTGGGTCGGGACCCCATTTGGGGTTGAATGACCATTTCATGGGGGTCGCCAAACAAGGCTGTCCGCCATTTTTTCCCCCTTTTCTTTGGCCACGCCCTTGGCACCCGGTGATGTATAAGTGGTTGGGGGGTCACCACAACATGGGGAACTGTATTATGGGGTCACGGCATTAGAAAGGTTGAGAACCACTGCAGTAGAGGAATTTTCATTCCTTTTTCATTGGCAAGGTTAAGTAAAATGGATATATTTAGCCTACTTATTTTTATTGGAAAGCATGGAAAATCATATAGCTGTCATTCCCATAGGCTCCACAAAAGGAGCTAAGAGCTACGTTCAATTTAGGGTCACAGCTTTCCCACTCCTGGTTGTATAACCTTCAGTGGTACCATTTGATGTTAATAACTGTTAATAAATGGGAAAATTACATAAAGGTTTGTGGAACTCTATATGATTAATCTTCCAGGTTCTAGCAGACATTCCCCAGAACTACCGTTAAAACTAATGTGCAAGAATGAGGCTGGAACTCTGATTATAGTATTCCTAAAATGTAGTCTAAACAATCTGAAATAATAGGACTTTTGCACCATATTGCATGGCTGTGGAATAGTGAAGCTCCGCTCCCCATGGCCAGTTTCATCCTGCCAGGGGGACCCTAAATGGGACTGAAGTTGCCCTGAAGAGGTGACCGTGAAGGAGGGGCGCTCTATTGATCACGAAACAACGCCGGTCATTTTGTTCGATCCGGGGGAAGCCCTCTTACCTGACAGGAGAAAGGCTAGTGTGGCATCAGCTAGGGCATCTAGCCCAAGCTACCTGCAGCCGAAGTCCAAGAGCATGAACAAGAACATCGGTGAACAGCGTGCTTGGAACTGGTGAGAATATCGATCTTTTCTATCTACTAACTGAATCCTTGGGAAAGACCCACAAAGCAAGAAAACTTTCAAAAGTGGAGGGGACTATATCCCCATTCCTTCATAGATGGAAGTGGCGAATTAATACTAAGGGGGAAAGAAATAGACTGAAATTAAATTTAAAATACTACAGTCTGGACAAATCAAGAAACTAAAAAAACCTGTTAAGAATACACCTAAAAGAATGTTAATGAAATTATAAAAAATATATAACAATAATAATTTTTTGTCTGAAAAAACTGGAAAACCAACAACTACTGACACTTGTTGGAGAATTAGAGCACGCAGCACTAAAGATAATGACCCAGAAACTGGCAGGATGCCTAGAAACAAAGAATAATCTGTTTCCTCCATTGTGTCCTCTTTTGGAAGAAGTGCGAGAAAAATATGTTGATACATCACAAATGGGTTCTTATTTATAATATATTGCAATGGATGGTTTTTGAGTGTCATAACTCATTCTGCCATGCTGCTTAAAGCATACTTTTTGCATTATTGCTTGCCAGAATCATATAGTCTATAGAAAATTTGTCCAAGACCAATTTAATTATCTCCTGTAAAGAACAGTCCATATTTTCCAAGATAAATGATTTAGGAAATAAAAAATACATTTATTGTGCCCTCCAGTTTGTATCAAACATTTGTAGAAAATCAAGATTAAAAAAACTGCTACTCCTACTACTCTTTTCCTAAATAGATTCATCTCTGAGTGCTATACAAAATTGTAAATACAGGTATAGAAAAAAGGAAAAATGTGGTGTCTTTGTGAAACTCCAGTCTGCTGTTCATCACAATGTTTTCCTAAATCACAGTGTTCTGCTGTTCATCTGCTGTTCATCACAGAAAAATCTACATTCTGAAAATTGCAATTGTGTATATTAATGTACTACTTCCAACTATGGGAAGAAATACATCATCAAGTATCAGTTTTTGGGCAGGGGAGAATTATAGACTATTGGTAAACCACTGATCTATGCAGTTTGTTTAGTTAGCAAGACAGAAAGCATTACAGTTTCTATACTTGCTTCTGATGAGTTTCTGACTATTTTGCTGACTATAATATGTTTGTCTTTAGACTTTGCATGAATAACTTTCAGTGGTATTTTGTTTCTGGGCATGAGCTTTGCATCCCATTCTAACCAACTTAAATAAAATACCACAATTAATATCAATAACATGGAAATGTATACACCACTATCACTTTAATGGTTCCTAAATTATGTTGCTTGCCTAGTGATTCCAGTTGTCGGAGAAGATTTAAGTTAACTAATTACACTGTTAAAACATAATGACATACCTTGCAAGTTCTCAAAGAGTGATAAACATAATTTGTGGAAGGACTGTCTCTATTTCCTCAGGATAACCTTTAAGAAAGAAGGAGAAAAAAAATCCTATATTTACATGACCTAGTTATGTCACAATCTTTTTTGTTATTTGTGGAGGTGAGTGAGTTTCACCAGACTGCTACATTAAAGTGGCTCTAGTATCCCAACATGGGATAAAAAAAGGAAACTTAGATACCAGATTAGTAATTGAGACAAACTATAAACTTTCTGAAAAACTAATTTTGTTCACTAAGATATTAATAATTCAGTTTCTTAGGCAAAATGATTAATTCCTGGCATAGCTCAGGAAGAGATTTTTTTTTTATTTGCTAGAGGGGAGAATAAGGCTTATTTCACAAATATTACTAATTAGTTTAATATTAATTTTAATTTATACTTTTTAACTTTCAGAAGTATTTTCTTTTTAACTGCTTTTAATACTCACTTATTATAGGTATGGCAAACATTAAAATAGCTGATCAAAATAATGGTGAACTTATTCAATCTGAACGCAATAAACAATTCCATTTTGATGATTAGTGCTCTTTGAATGAAATTTTAATTGCTCACATAATACTAAAGTTGAATAAATTGACTTTTCTAAAATCTTGGCCTAAATATGAATTATAAATGCTTAATGTGGAATTTTATTGGATTTTACTTATGAAAAATGGTGTCTTCGGAGAGATTGGAATGGAATGGTTTTCCCCCTAAAAAAGTAGAACTTCTGAGAAAAATATTGAAAATACAAAATGCAAACTGCCAAAGGTTTTTTTTCCCCGTATTTGATGGTTAATTTGGCTCTTGTTGTTGTATGGAGATATAAAACTGCTGACACAAAAGAGTTTCCTGATTTTTCTGAAAAATATAGAGGTGATTTCAAGAATAGAGGTGATTTGGTATTCTAAGTCTTTGGTTATTAGTTTGGTTTGTTTTATGCATATTAATGTACATAAAAAGAGACATTGCCAAAAACTTCCTTAAAATATGTTACTGACTTAACATTTTAAATGAAAAAACAGGTCTTTTGGGTGGAGATTGAATGAGATGTTCCAGTGAAAATGTTAGGTAGTGGAGGATTGCAAAAAGAAGTTAAAATATTTCTTTCAGAATAATCTTAATAAAGGTACAGAAGTAAGAATAATTTGGGTTGCAAGTAAAGTTTTAATAAGAGGATATTTTATATTGTACAACATGGTAGTGAATTTAAAAAGAAAAGGCAAGTCAAGAGAAAATACAAATGATTTTGGATAAGAGTAAAAAAATACGAATTTTAAAAATTCTCAAGGAGGTTAACTATTATTCACCAAATTAAGCTTCTACAGAGGCTACTATCTGTGTTAATAGTGAGAGAAAACAAAGACATTTTGAATTTGTACATAAACACAGAAAGTAGTTGGCATATAAGCTGCAAGAAAAAAAGTGCTAAGTTTCAAGAAGAAATACTGTATTAATATAATGAAAATATGTGAACAATGTATTATTCTACATATAAATATCAAATATTTCTTTGGGAGGGGAAATGGATGAATACTTATGTAAACAGAATTTATCAAAGATCACAGAGAATCAGTAAAATTTTGAATGAGCCTGTAACAGTAAGGGAAATATATGTTTGAAAAACTAAAACAGGAAAAACACTTAGTCCAGATGGCCTCATGGTGTCTTATTATAAAGGTTTTGAGTAGGAACTTTTACAATCTTTACAACAAATAATATTATTTTACAGGAAGATTTCTGATATCTGGAAAGAGGCTGACTTTAACAAGAAATTATCAACCAATACCTTTATTGAATAATGACTACAAACTGTATATCAAGATTTTGTCTATAAGGTTGAAAGTAATTTTAGAGGACTTTATTCATAAAGATTAACCTGCACTCTAAACATTAAATAAGAGGGTGTGTGTGTGTGTGTGTGTTTGTTGCTTGGAAAGGAAAGAGATATGCAACAGACCATAGGATTGTGTACCTTGTTATTTATTTCTCTATAAGAGATTTTTCTAAACTGCTGCTCACAGAAATCCTAATGCATTTTACAATATCTATAAGGTAATTTCAGAATTCTGTAAGTGGTGTATGTGAACCTAATATTTGATAGTATTTCACTCTAGGTGAGTTCTAGGGAACAATTTGGAATATACATATTTAAAATTAGTGTAATGTATAATGATTCTGCAGCAATTTTCAGGTTTCTGGTTGGCCACGGGGGTCAATAAATCCATACATATTAAAAAACAAACTTTTTTTAGAGAACGTCTATTTTATATATTTAGTTTTCAAAAGACATCTTCCACTTGTAGGATAGCTTTTGAATCAACCAATTGTGAAATTTATCAAGATACTCTCTTGTCTGCTATCTAAGAGTTAAAAACTGATATATTTATTTTAATAAAATATTCATAAATGTGCATTAACAAAACAAACGGCCGAAATACTTAGCAGGTGCAACACTGTCTGTGAT